TATATATATATATATATATATACATATATATTGATCCTTCCAAACAAAATCTATTTAACTCAGCTATCTTTGTAGCTTTCAGTTCCGCATGACGAGGATATAAATATCCATGAATCAGTGACTGCACACCAATAAACATAAGTTATTACTCAGAAAAAGTTGAATAGAGTTAGACATCCATGGTGAGAGATCAAAGGGTGGGAGTCTAATGACGCAGTTAAGAATTGTTAAGAATAATGGCGAACTTACGGTTTTCTCTAAATAAGTTCATACTTTATTGTAATTTGATTTTTCTAGTATTCTCTAGTCCTATAAATATACCTTTACAAAGTGTAAACGATTCGTTAATACAAACCGCATTACATTCTTTGAATGAAAATTCGCCAACGCATCATACTTATACTGGTGGACAATTGATTAATGCTGAAAAATTGGTAAGTCATATTAATTGATATTACATTTCTCAAACAATATATAACTAATAATAATTGTATAAAGTATAGTAGAATTAATTGTTATCCATTTATATGGATACAAAAAGTAAACATCTTTAAAGTAACACAAATTTGATCGTTTATTGTATTTATAATTAATTATATATTACCATGCATATGTATCTACTATAAAAAAAAAAAACACATTTTTCTTTCTTTTTTTCAGGATGAACTATCGCACATTATATATAGATTAACGTTTAATTTAAATCCTGTTTGTAAACAAACTGGAGAGTTTTGTCCCACAGAAGCATGTACAATTAATCTTAAGCAAAATGAGTTTAATAATATACAAGTACAAAAAGATTCTATTCAATGTACATATTTGTATCCTCAATCTTCTCAAAGTAATGAAGTACCAGAGCAAAATAAAGAGCCAAATTATGAAAATCAGGAATCTATGGCTAATTTAAACAAACAAAGTATACAAAATGGAAGTACTACATCAGATCAGGAAATTAAATCTATGGGAGATCAAAATGATCCTCAAATCATATCTGTTAAAACATCTAATTCTAATTATTGTCCTGGATGCCCGTACGAGTTGAATACTCATCTACCTGGATTTCTTGCTTTTAACAGACAAATTGAAAAACAAATGGACGAGATTCTATCTAATGATTTTAAACATATGGTAATTGACATTGTTAGAGCAACTCGTGCAGTTCCACCTTCTTCTAACATTATAAAATATCAACTTTGGGTTAAAGTTGGCGAATCTTCTTGTTTAAAAAATGTATTGACAAGTATATCGGATTGCACATTACAATCTAATGTTCCAATCAAAACCTGTTTGATAACATTTGAAGAACAACCATTTCAACACGATACCCGCCGAATAACAAAAAATAATTGCACAGCAATTAATATTGATGACTTTAATAAAGCTGAAAACTTATTAAATGAATCATACATAATAGCTAAAAATAATGCTTACGAAGGCTTGAAGAGTGTAATAACAGATGATTTAACGCATACTTTAACTTCTAATACTCAAAATGAAGAATCACTTGTTACAGAACATTCGTTTGTAAAAGTATTAATAAATAAAACTAACGATGAAGAAAAACCAGAACACTTTACGAATAAAATCAAAGAATTTCAAGAATTCTTAGAAGATTTTGACATACCTATTAAAAAAGATGTTAATGCTGATAGTCAACAATCATCAGTTAATAAAAAAGAAATAGTATCTGAGGAAGTAACAGCACACAACAAAGATGACCGATTAAATGATCAAAACAATATTGATTCAAATCTATTCTTTGATAAGATAAAAAGATCTTATTCACCCGATATTTATGATGTTGCTACAAGAATGAAAAGACAATTAGTTGGAGCACCTTCTAATAAAAATGTAAATGATCCTGAAATAGTAGAATATGCAAATCTTGGTTTAAAAAAATTTTCTAAAAATTTGGAAAGTACGAATGAACCTATCATCGTTGAAATTACAGAAGCGACTGCTCAAGTTGTTTCAGGTATGTTATATAAAATAAAAGTAAAATTAGGTGTGAGCGATTGCCCTAAAGGAACCAAAAATAATTGTAAATTACAAGAAGGAAGTGATCTTAAAGAATGTTTATTCACTATATGGTCGCAACCTTGGATAGATGAAGGTTCTCCAAACATTAAAGTGAATTGCAATCATGCTGCACGAAGTAAACGAAGTCTTAAAGGTGCTGGTTATAGTCAAAAAATGTTAGCTCAGGCAGAGAGTATGAAACATGAAAGATTATTCGAAGAATTTACTGTTAATTTTAATAAAAATTACTTATCTGAACAAGAAAAAACAAATCGTTTCGAGGTATTCAAAACAAATCTTAGAATTATAGAAAGATTACGAAGATATGAACAAGGTACTGGAGAATATGGAGTTACTATGTTTGCTGATTTAACATCTGAAGAATTTAAAAAACAATACTTAGGATTGCGCCCTGATCTACGTTTAGAAAATCATATACCAATGCCACAAGCAAAAATACCTAATATTGAATTGCCCATTGAGTATGATTGGCGTCATTATAATGCTGTAACACCTGTGAAAAATCAGGGACAATGTGGATCATGTTGGGCTTTCTCTGTAACTGGTAATGTAGAAGGACAATATGCGATAAAGCATGGAAAATTACTTTCATTATCTGAACAAGAATTAGTGGATTGTGACGAATTGGATGATGCTTGCAATGGTGGATTGCCAGATAATGCTTATAGGGCTATAGAAAATTTAGGAGGACTTGAATTAGAAATGGATTATCCATATAAAGGCATAGATGAGAAATGTTATTTTAATAAAAATAAAGCTAAAGTTGAAATTGTTTCTGCAGTTAATATTACATCAAATGAAACACAAATGGCACAGTGGCTAGTTGAAAACGGTCCTATATCTATTGGGATCAATGCTAATGCGATGCAGTTTTATATAGGTGGAATATCCCATCCTTATAAATTCTTATGCAATCCTTATAATCTGGATCATGGTGTTCTTATTGTAGGTTACGGAATCCGTAGTAAGTATTATTTTTCTATTTTATATAATTTTGTATTAAATATATCATCCTTAACATCAAAAATAAAGTTAATGTTCATTTAAATCAATGTGTATTTTTCAGAATATCCGCTATTCAAGAAAGAATTACCATATTGGGTGATAAAAAATAGTTGGGGTCTTCGTTGGGGTGAAAGTGGATATTATAGAGTTTATAGAGGAGATGGAACCTGTGGAGTAAATCAAATGGCTACAAGTGCTGTTGTTGAATAATACTTATTTTTGATTGAAACAATTTATCCCCAAGCAATTAGGCTTTTCTATTCGTTAAAATAATATTTTTTATTAATCTTGTTACTATTTAAATATTGTTATATTCGAAACTAAACCTTCTTTATGATACTTATATTACTAAAACTAATTTTATTATATATATTAGCATTACTTTAGGAAATCTGTTAATTCATGAAATGACTAGATAAACACTTAAAATTCTTTTTATATGCTTTCCCCAAAACGCGTTGTTATTTCGAGTAAAATCTCGGGTTTCCACGATTTAACTAAATTAAACAATTTAACACTGTGGCATATATTTACATATATATATATATATATATATATATATTATTGTTATATTTTATTTTTTTAAGTACGAAACTATATAATTAGCTTTCAATTTAAATACGATATTAATGTTATGAAAATAACATTTTCAAAATAAATATTACACATTTGTTATACTAAATTAAATAAAAATATTAAAATTTGTATTCTTGAAATATTTATTATATCTCCTAACAAATCGCAGATTGAAAATATAAATTTCTAATAGGAATAACTAAATTACAGCTAAATAATGACATAGAAAAAACAAACTATTCTATTAGTATTTTATGAATGCATCGGAATCAAGATTATATCCATTCCTTTATTTACATTAGTTTGCGAACAATTTCACATACATTACATAGTCTAAATCTTAATTCTGTTATTGAATAAGTGATATTTGTGAACATTTCAGCTTTATTAGACTAAATGTTTAAAGAGACAACTATGCCACATTGAGCCAACAGCAGCAAACATATATACTGAAATTTGCACCTTCGTTTAATATTTAAAAATGATGGTAGGTAAATACCAAAAGTAAAATTTTAAAAAGTGTTTAATCGAAGGTAAATTCACTACAAAAATGTTATATTATTGGTCTTTTTCAAATTGACATTTCAAACAAAACTAGATTTCTAATTAATTCATTTACATAACATTTTATATGACAGGTCTTTCAAAATTTTGTTTTATCAATAATAAATTATGATATATGCCCTATGAAAGAACTCTACATATATATAGAAGTTAATCATTAGTATAATCATTAAAGTTTGCTAATGACGGAGATATTAATGAAAATATTTTTAATTCACCAATTTTAATATAGTACCACATATATATAAATATATATATATATATATATATAGTAGGTTACGAGAGTTTCGTACCGGATCCCACTGTAAATTGGAAATAATTGATAATTGCTTGTAATGCAAAGCTTCAAGATTCTCATACACAGAAGTCTATTTAAAGATTATTAAACTTTCCAGTTGATATAAATTTTATAGCAAAATAATATTTTATCATTAAAGAAATATATAAGATTTAAAAAAATACAATTATTATTTTTGTTTGCAGTACTTGCTTGGCTTTGCATTTTATAGTGCCTTTATTTTCTTATCATTTATATAAAATCATATTTCTTTTGCAATAAAATTGATGTCAATTTAAAAGTTTAATAATCCCAAAATAGAACTAATGCATAGAAGAAATTGAAAATATTATATTACTAGAAAATATCAAGTGTTTTAAATTAACAATTGGTGTAAAAATACTCCTGTGATTCATTATATATAAAGTAATGTAATAATTGAATGAAAGCAAATTTATAAGATTATATTAAAATTGGATTTTGTTCTTAACATATACAATTTATAATAAATGCATTTTGCATACATTGGATCGTACCTGTAAGTATCGTATTTAAAAAAAAGTATTATTTTGTATTTAAGAATACCAAAATAAACATAATTATGAATATTTATAGTTACGATTTATAAACACTTCAATTTAGTTGACGTAACATTTGATTTGTGCAAATGCACTCAATAACATGTTACGTTATCAATAACTAAAGTTGGGATTTTTATAATTGAATATCTAAGCAAACATAATTATCCTTGTGCTATGTATAAAAAAAATAGAGGGGGAAAGAGGAGGTATATTAGAAACTATTTTATGTTTTTATTTCATGTCATTTGAATAAGCTGTTTCAATTTTCAACTATTCGATTTATGTCAAAAGGAATAGAAAACGATTATAGCTTATTGCCGTGTCAAATGTAAATTTGTTAAATGTATGTAAAATAATTTGTTTCTAATGAATTTATATGAAAAATGACATTGAAATTGAAAGAACATGTTTATAACTTGACGGGACAGTAAACTCATTAATAGGCATATTTTTCAATACATTGACTCATTTACATATCATTTAGAAGCTTAAGTGCATATTTATCATATTCAAAAGGCATTCATAGAAATACTTCCAAGAGAAATAGCACTTTGGAAAGCAGGTTTAGTAAATTTAGAAGAAAATTTACTTTTTATCGATAAAATTGACGAAAACAATTGTTTTCCTTTTTTTCCTTCTTCTCGGATAAATTGAAATTGAATGGAAAAAGTATCATAAAATATACAACAAATATGATAACGCATAATAACTGCTTACACAAGAAATTTTGAATAATCCTTTAATAATAATTGTATGAACCCCATTGATTATAAGGTCCATATGCTTGTGGACCACCTTGTCCATACTGCCAGTTTTGATAATTTGCATAATTAGGATCTGACGGAGGCGGATATTGTTGATAACCCTGTTGATAGCCACCTTGACCTCCATATTGTCCACCTTGAAACTGCTGTGGTGATTGATAGGGTCCGCTTGGTCCACTACTATACTGATAAGACTGAGAACCTACAGATGGTGGTGGAGGTATATTTGACTGTTCTCCAGTTTTTACTTTCTTCGGAGGAGAAGAGTCACTATAATAGAATTTTAAACAAATGGGATATATATTATTTTGCATAAAATTTTTAATAATAAAAATGTTAATAAAAATTGACAAATATATTATAAATAAGTATACTCGGTAATAGCTTAATAATTAGTAATATCGTAAATACTTCTCTAAATATATATATATATATATATATCAAACAAAAATAATAATAATAATAATAATTTGTACTTTTTATTATCATCACTCTTTGTCTTCTTGCGTTCTTTAGCTTGCTTTATACATTTTTGGAATTGTTCATGTGCTTTCAAAACTTGTCGAATATCAGGACTAAAATCTTCAAGGAATTCTACTTTGCGTTGTGCAAATAATACTCTTTGTTCCAAATCAGCATGTTCCCTTTCTATAAACATATCCATGTATCCGACAATTTCTTGCGTGTCAACTGGATTTCTCTGTAATCCTAAATCTATTAATTGCAAGTACAATCTTGGGTTATCTTTATCTTTTTCTGTAGCCTGTGAACAAATTATTTGAATTAACAAAAACAATAACTTTATGTGCATTAAATTTAACAATCGCAAAAGAAAAGAATATAAATATACCTTCAATAATACTTTGATAGCTTTATCCACATCGTTTTTAACTTTGCAAAGAAAGCGAGCATATTTAACTGCAATATTATTAGCAATTGTTCTATTTTTGCTGTTGCTTATATAGTTTTCATATAATGTACAAGCTTGTTCTAAATCATTTCGTCTGCGTTCTAAATTTATTCTTCGATACGCTATTTGTAACATGTTGGGTAGTACATTATCTATATTTTCCAATATAACAGCAGCTTTCTCAAAATTACCCTGACCTTCCTCAAAGGTTGCCCACTGCAGATGTAAATTAGGTTTTTTTGGATGATGAACCATGCATGCTCTTGAATAAACATCTCTTATTTTGTCTACATTATCACCCTTCAAAGATTCCAGATAACGCACAAACTGTAAATTAGAAAGAAATGTAACAGATTTTGTCAATAAAGAAAGAAAAAAAGACTTATAATTAACGTACCCTCATCCAAAACTCATCATAAAGTGCACACGCTATGAGACATCTTTCAAAAAGAATGATAATTCTATTTTGATCCTTTTGTTCTATTTCAAAGTCTAAGTATTCCTTCCAATTCTTTAGCTGGCATCGTTCTAAAGGTTTGACGTGAAAGTAGGGCCTCTTAATCTGTTATTCAAAGATGACATTACCATTAACGATTGTTTTTGTGTCAAGATATATATGTTACTGTTAAAATGTATAAAGCCTAGATCTTACATGAAATAACTAGACGTTTTAGGAAAAGCATATAATAGCTATTTATGCTACAAATGCGAGAAAGAAGTAACACATTATGGTATGAGTTTTATTTCTTGAATGAGCCGATAAGGTGTGTTATATCACAAGAGAATGAGTGGGAATTTGCGCCTAAGCGAAGCGAGAAAAAAGCCACAAGTTCTCTTGTGACACAATCGGAAGCAAATTCTAGAAATTATCCATACCAAATTTGCTATTTTTTGGACTTATTGCATACGATATTTTATGCAAGACATAATACATAAGTTATGCAATCTTTATTAATTATAAAAATATTATTTTTTATATACGTGCCTATATCAGTTATTTCATGATTCAAATAGCTATTCCATGAATTAACGGATTTCACATTTTAATGATAACATATACTTATCATAACGATTATGTTAATTGTTACAATAGAACAACTTACCCCTTCTTCATATGACCATCTAGCAGCCACCGCATTAACATTAGCTTTATGCATTTTACGTCTACTGCTGATAATTTTTTCTCTAATAGCACGTGTCTCTTCATCTGTAGGTGGCATTTCATGAGGAGGTGGTTCTTCTCCTGGCGGTGCATCGTCTGCAGCTGATGCCGAAGTAGTATCATCTGCTTTCAACAGAGCTTTGACTTCGGCTCGAATAGTAAGAAAATCATCTACACTTAAAATGCGATTTGGTAGATTTGAAGAAACAAACTCTTGGAAGGCTTCAAAATGAGAAATATATCCAAGCGTAGGAGTGCATAGTAAACGATCATATAATGCCGTTACTCTGCTTAAACGTTTGCCTTCTAATTCCCATTTTATATAACTCTCCCAAAGACGATCAGATCTGAGAATAAAAATGACGAATATAAAATTAATATAATATAACTTTTCATCTCTTATGTTTTCTCAATTTTACCGGTAATTATAACAATTAACTTAGTTTCTTTTCATAATTACTGATACAATTGATCTTACTTACCTAAATTCTAATCCACATGCTTGAATAGCCCTTTCATATTGTTCACGTAGTTTTTCTTCATCCTTTTCGTAGACAGTTTTGCAGTGGTTGATGTAATGTAACCAGAGATCAACGCTGAGTGAAATAGCTTTCGAACCTTGGTCGAATACCTGTAGTAATGATTGGTAATCACATTTTAGAAGAGTTTATAAATAATCTGACTGACGCCGGGTAGTCTTATACCTATATTTAGCTTTTGTTAAGCATTACGGTTTTTTTTTTTTTTTTTTAGTAACGTATACTCACATACCGTACGCGTACTGTAAATAAAGATTGATATAATTAACACTGAGATTGCAGAGCATTTTGAATTCACCTTAAATTCAAGGAGTGATCCATTCTGGGTGCCTCAGTGTCTTCCGTCACTCATTCTTGTTCCCTCTCTGGCACGTGCACATCCTAAGTCTTTGTTTCTGACTTTGACTTAACACCCAACCCAATCTTACTTACATTAAGTAAGCTACCACATCTTATGCTTAAGTTACAATACTTTTTGTAGTAAGCTATGTGTACAAATGCTTACAAGTAAATATTACACACAATGTTTTGAACGATAATATATCGCAAATGGAAATAAACTAGCCTTCGTGAGGTGACTTACGTATCGCACGTAGAGTTATCGTTATTATCGATATTGATAAAACAATAATACGTAATTAGCATTATAGATATCACAGAATAATTAAATAAGTAGCTATATGGTAAACGAAGAGTCGTATAGGTGCCGCAAGACGTGCTAGGCTGTTGGAAGGGAAAACCATATTTACGTGCGTGCACACTGCCCACGCGTCTTCCTAACTCGAGCTATTTTCATTAGATTGCGTTAATTAAATGATATATCATAATAAGAAATATATATATATATATATATATATATATATACATATATATATAAACCTAATGAAGAAATAAACGAATTAACTCACCATTTGGACATTTTCGGGGTTGCCCTTCTTCTTCTCGTAATCAGCAAACTTCCGCCAGTAACCATAGCAATAAGGGTACCGCTCCAAAAATTTCGTGTATGCTTCACGTGCTGCCTCTGCGTCGTTCTAAAACACGTTCGTGTATCTGTGTGGGTATTTATTTCTGTGTTGTAAGCTTGTATTATAAAATAAAATTAAAAAGAAAATACTAAACGAAGAAAGAGGATGCAGAAAGCAGTAGATAATATACAACAAAAATTTAATATCATTGTCAATACCTCTTGATCAACATATTGGAGAAGATACGTCCATCCTGTAAAATCAGATGGGTCTTCATTGACAGCTTTCCAATATTTTTCTAGTTCAGGAAGAGTTTTCTTTTTTGGCGATGCTGGCTTAATATCTTGTTTATTATCTCCAAGTTCTGCTTCATTAGATAGTGCTACTTTTTTAGCAGGCGTTTCATCATTATTTTCAGAAGTTGGAGAACTTGGATCATATTCTCCTTCTGCATTTAATTTCCTCTTATCTATAGTTGTAAAAAAAATAATTAAAAAATCCATGTTACAAATAAATATAAGTTAAATCATTGTTTTCAAAATATAATTTACTGACTTCCTCCTTCCGTTTTAGCTTTTTTTTCCATTGTTTTATTAACAGACTTAATACCACTTTTTCTTTTCTTTTCACTATCTGGTGGTAGTTCATCTTCCGATACAGATTCTGTTTCACCCAAATCAGCAGGAGCAGCTGCTGGTAGTTCTTCATCAGAAACTGCTTCTGTTTCAGGTTCCTTACAAATGTAAAGAAAAAGAAAATATTAGAATCTGATGTTAATATATTAAATTTGATGTAAGAATTTACTATAAAATTCTGAATTACCTTAGCAGATGCTTCATTTGGTAATTCATCTTCTGAAACTGCTTCTGTATCTGGTTCTATTTTTTTTATACCATTATCAATTTGAAAGCTGGACTCACTCATTTCAGAAATTTCTAAATTTGAAAGTTCTATATTTTCAGTTTCCATTGCATCAGTATCCGGCTCCACTTTATCCATAATATTTTCTACAACTTCTGATATTTCTTGTTGTGAATCATCAACTTCCATAACTTCAATACCTGTATTGACATGACTGATTACATTTTCTGATTGAACTCCATCCGTATCCAAAATTTTGGTCACTTGTGTTATAGTTTCACCATCTTCTGTTACAACTTCTTCAAAATCAATCAACACTCGCTGATTAATCATTCCATCATTACTTAAACTTTGTCCTTCCATCTCAATCTGTGTAGTTTCGCAAAGCATATCTTCCTTGTCCATGCTACTTTCTTCTATAATTATTGTATTGCATTCTGCACCAGAATGTTCCTTCTGTAAAATTACCATTTTTTATTTTAAATGTTATAAGATCGATATAAATATAAATATGAATATAGTTTTTATTACATACCATTAAATGTGTAGCTTCTTTGACTTTAAATGAAGATAATATAGGTGTATTAGGAATGTTATTTACATTTGGCGGAGGAGGAGTTTCTAATTCTGGCACTGTTACCTCCGACTGTATTGTTTGATCTATTGTCACTTCATGAATATTAGTGTCTCCAGAATCCTCTAATTCTAAATGTAACATTTGAGTGCTATCATTGTGTCGCTCAATTATGATGTCATTTAATCTTTGCACACCATTTTCAGAGAGATTGTCTACAACTTGTAGTACATGAGATTCCTCCTACAAAATAAAAACTCTCATCATACTCAACATCATATTCAACCAAATCTTATATCGTATAGTAAGAATGAACTGTATTTACAATAGAAAAATTTACTTTTTTTTGTACATACCTCGATTTCCTCAATTTCTTGAATTTTCTTAGAGGAACGTGTAGCTCTTGCTAGAAGCTTTTTCACTGGTGGCTTTTTCGCTACTACAGGTGTTTTTCGAGCACGACCAGATCTTATACGTTGTACTAAAAAAGAGAAAAACAATTGAACATGATTAATAGATGCAATTAATGAAACAGTCTATATGCGTGACGCCCTTTGCTCAATGGCGGTACGTAAACGATGATTACTGCCGGGTGTACGATGCACTTTTTTTTTATCTCAATAGATCGTAACACATAGGAATAATATATCTAATATGTAAAATAATGAATACTGCCTTAACCAAACTTATTGAAAAAGATATTAGATATATTTATACCTGGTTCAGCTAAAGTAACCTCGGTTTCATCATCACTTGCAGAGGACATCTTTTATATTTTAACCAAATCTCTCTAAAATGTAAAGCGCAAAATTGAAACACAAAATGGCGACATGAAATCACTTTAGTAAGAAATATATGATACACAGATCATAGAAATTGTAAAGACGGCAGATAGATTTTCGAAGTGTTATATCTGTTTGCGACCAGCAAATGGAATGACGCTTTCTAGTAACAAATTATCACGTGACCATGTCATGCAAGTTTTTTATTGGATAAAAGAACGAATCAACGTTGAAAAGCCTCCAAAACATTTTATGATGATGTTGATTGGCTGATTAGAAATCTAATTACAACTTACTCCATTTCGACAAAATGTTGTATATTTAAATAATATCAAGCATATTACACAACAGGTATGTATTATATATTATGAAAATCATTAAAAAAATTGAAATTAATTAAGAAGAAATAAATATATAAGAAAAATTGATAAAACTACAAAGAAAAAAATTGATGACGCTATAAAGAAACAATGAGAACAATCCAAAGGTGTACGCGCAACATATATTGAACCGCATGATAAGATTGTCAAGGTCGCCCCAACAGTGTATAGATGTGGTTAGCTGAAAGATAATATATAAAACAAATCAATGTTGTGATATGTTTTTCTAACTTTTTCTACTAAATTTATCTGTCATAATATTAATGAAAAATTCAATAGAATTTAACGATAATTTAATGCTATGCTACAAAATACTATCAAAAATTTAAACTCTTCTGTTATTTGTCAGTTAGTCGTACGAACAGTTTCAAATTCTCATTCATTTAAATCAATTTTTATTGACGTACTGCATGTCAGTGCATACAACTCATTTTCACTCATTAATCGTACTTATAAAAACATCATAATAACGACATAAAATTTCTCACTTATTATTTACACCTCGATGTTTTACCTCGGGAATGTCGGAACGGTTCGTTCTAATACATTTTTTTGACATCGAAAAGTGCAATTCAATTTATCTGAATCTGAGGATCCAGTAGGAAATGTCTTACAGTGATGGTGGGCGACCGGTACGAAAATTCGGTACTAAGTCACCTAAAAAGCTTTGCGTGACTAAAAGTGAAAATAGTGATAAAACGACGACAACTATTAATTGCAACAATCATCATCACAATCATCATCACCATCATCATAGTCATCGGTTTATCGATAATCCACAACCGTCGGTGCACAAACGCAATTTGTATATTGTTTCTTTTCCCCTTATATTATTGTTTAACGTATTAAGAACTTTGCTTTATCAACTTTTTGTGGTGTTTAAGTACTTATATACATCTACCTCACAACTGATTCAACGAAGACAAGCTACTAAACATAGTTGCCAGCTTGAAATAGTTGTCGGTCAAAAGTCTGATAGTAATTTTATTAACACTGCACAAATTGAAAGCGAAGAAATGTCACAAGTACCTAAGAGAGCTATCGGACCGGGTCCTGGCGATCCACTTCTTGCTAAACAAAAGCATCATCACCGTAGAGCTTTTGAATTTATTAGTAAAGCGCTTAAAATTGATGAAGATAACGAAGGTAACGATACGTAACTTATTTTAGAGAAGGAGAAAGACCATTATATGTCTTATGAAAAATATTGCAACTTGAATTATTTCTTAATTCTACTTCTTAATAGGTAAAAAGGAAATGGCTATAGAACTTTATAAGAAAGGAATTGGTGAACTAGAGAAAGGAATAGCTGTTGAATGTACTGGTGGCCGCGGTGAAGTGTGGGAGCATGCACAAAGATTGCATGATAAAATGTGTACAAATTTAGCAATGGCTAAGGATAGACTTGACTTCTTAGGTTTGTATCTGTAAATTTATTCATTGTTATATGCTTTTTGCGCTATTGCATTATATTATGTGAAGAAACTATGAATTATAATGTTTTAATGTAATTCTCTATGTATGAATATGAAACATTGACCACAATTGTTCTTTATAAAGAAAAATTGGATTTTACGGCACATGTTTAGTGATGGCAATAGCACAAAAACGATTGATGTATTTAGCATGCTTATGTGCTAATTATTTCTTGATGTTTGTGTATGTGTGTGTGAGTGAATCCTTGCGTGCGTGATGGGTGATACCAGTTCGTATAATTTTTTATTATAAGATTTACCTTTGGCACAATCTATTATTAATTCTGTTTCACAACTATCAGAACTATGTCATTAAGACAACTTAATGCATTTGGAAAATTAGTGGCCAACTTATAAATAGCAGCATATCTAATTGCGATAAAAATTGATGCAATTTGAATAATATCCTAACATAGCCTATTTTTTTAATGGGTTTATGTTTAGTCTTATTTCCTATTTAGCTACTTAGCCTACTGCAGCATGGCAGAGAGTGTTTTTCCTTTTTGTAGTGAGTGTGTGTGAGCTGAAAAAACTGGATATCGCCAATGAATATCGTACTTCTGGAAATAAATTGGACAACGAACATCCAGGAAAACTTCTGAGGGCTCGTCGCAGTGTACACACATTACAGACTACTCGTACAGCTTCTTTAAATATAAGTCATAATAAAAATCTGAATAATTCACAAACAGTAAATACAGGACAGAACACATGCACTCAGATTCCCAAATTAAGGCCACGATCTCCAAAAAACTGTTGCGTGCATCCTTCTGAAGGTATTGTTTGTCTGATATTCTGGGCTTAAATAATTTTAATTAGACAGTAGGTAGATTATAATTATCTTGTAGTTCTGCTTTTTGGAATTCCATGCATTTAATTTCTCCAGATAAAATGCATTTAAAATATGCCTATGTAGTGTGATGTAATGAATAAATATGAGCATGTAATCTGATAGAAATATTACTACTAATAATACCTGCTTATATAGATATAAGATTAGATAAACAAAAACCCAGTAAATATATTTTTTGTGCATATGATGAGATTGGAAATGGACTTCTGTGTGATTCCTCTTAAATGTATTTAATTTAAAATGATAAATATGTGTATTACTTGTAATATCAAATGATGTTTTTTTTTAGTAAACTTTATTTTCAAGTACTGATACATAATTTTATGTATACTTTATTAGCAATAAAAATGTGTTAATGTTATTATTGATCCTACTTCCACTTGTATATGAATATTTCATTTGTTTATGCAAATTTTATTTACTTTAGATGAAGTACTTTTTTTAAAAGTCAAAAAAATAAATATTATCCTTCTTTGATATATAAATTTGCTTTCAAACATTAACAAATACATATGCAATATTTTACGTTGGCATCAAAAATTATTTCATTGACATTAATGATATTCTATGTGCCTATAAATATTCTTACCTTATCTTATTGATTGCAATGTTTGTATTTTCATTTATACCTATCTATTTAAATTTATTTTGCATCATCAATATCATGGTTGTAATTACAGCATCAGGAAGAAAACTATCTGTTCCTGGGAAACGATTAATGGGTACAAATATGAGTAAAAGTCAGACATTGCCACGCAGTATGGGACGCACAACAAATATTCAACCTACTCACAGAGTGACACCCATAAAACCATCATCAACACCACCTTCTGTGAAAAGACAATTATCCGTACCTGGTAATGGTTCCCCTTTAAGAAGGCCTGCAACACCAACTACATCAAACAGTAATAGAAGTACACCAACGCGAAAAGTACCTCTTTTGAAAGGTGTAGATCCAAAGCTTGCTCAAGTTATATTAGATGAAATTTTAGAAGGTGGAACAGCTATACAGTGGGAAGATATTGCTGGTCAAGAGGTTTGTAAATCAATGATTTAATAATACACTCCGCAATAAATCTATAAGACACTTTAGATTGTAATAATTACATTTATACAATATAAGGTTTGACAAAATTATTTCAATACTTTGTGGAACAACAGAATACGTGTCTACATAAAGTAAATAATAACATTACGAATGAAGGAGATAAAACTCACGAGTTAAATAGAATTTTTCTCAATTTGTCGCGGAGTGTAGATACAAATAAATATATGTATTAAATTGATTGTATACATGTAACATACAATTTAAATTTATAGACTGCAAAACAGGCTTTGCAAGAAATGGTGATATTACCCTCATTGCGACCAGAATTGTTCACAGGATTACGAACTCCTGCAAGAGGATTGTTATTGTTTGGTCCTCCTGGAAATGGAAAAACTCTTTTAGCACGTGCCGTAGCTACGCAGTGCAATGCAACATTTTTTTCAATATCTGCTGCTAGCCTAACTTCCAAATATGTAGGGGAAGGTGAAAAATTAGTAAGGGCACTTTTTGCAATAGCAAGAGAATTACAACCATCTGTTATTTTTATTGACGAAGTAGATTCATTATTAAGTGAACGTAGAGATAATGAACATGAAGCTTCGAGGTATACTAATTAAAAATATACTCTTATAAATATATAATATTATAATAGTATTTAATATACTATATTATAGTATCCTTAAATAAATTTTTTCTTTACAGACGATTGAAAACAGAATTTCTTGTTGAATTTGATGGTTTACCATGTAATCCTGAAGAGAGAGTACTCGTAATGGCTGCTACGAATAGACCACAAGAATTAGACGAGGCAGCATTAAGAAGATTTACAAAACGAGTATATGTAACGCTACCGGACATAGCAACAAGAATTATGTTACTTCAGAGACTTTTAGCAAAACATAATGATCCATTAACAAAGGATGAACTTAAGGAAATGGCGATTTTAACAGAAGGATATTCTGGAAGTGATTTAACTGGTTTAGCTAAAGATGCAGCTCTTGGTCCTATCAGAGGTAACGTACAGTTATTATTATTATTATTATTATTATTATATAGCATGTGTTATAATAAAATTACTATATGTGAAAAGGATTGGATGGAAATTGATGACTTGACCATTCCAGCCTGTAATAATAATAATAATTTTATTATATAAATGGTGGGGTGTAAATAATATTATTATTTGACAGAATTGAATCCAAATCAAGTAAAAGAACTTGATCTTAATTCTGTACGCAATATTACAATGCAAGATTTCCGTGATTCTCTTAAAAGAATTCGTAGATCAGTATCACCTGCAAGTTTGGCTGCATATGAAAAATGGAACTTTGCGTATGGTGATGTAAGTCTTTGATTTAAGTTGAACGTCTCTGGGAAGAGGCTTTCAAATTAGTTGTTCTTCTATATAAGTTTAAAAATATTTACGGTACGATATATATTGGAGATTATGAAGGAAAAAAGAAAGAAAAAATGTCATAAAGTCATTTACTGGAACACACATATTGACTATAATGTAAATATGTGTAATGTTTTTTTCTCAATATTTATATTAATTAATAATTAACGAAAAAAGAAACATTAACGAAAACGAATCAATATTCTAGTCATATGGTTAACGATATTTTTTTGATAATGCAATATAATATCATACATAATATAACATTCATTATATTATATTTAAAATGAGAAAATAATATTTATGACTAAAATTCAGTTTGTATTTTAGTCATTATTTTGTTATAATATATCGTAATCGTTTTTATTATATTTAATACCATATAGAGTACTAATAATTTGATTATTTGTTTCTCAAACTTTTGTTATTTGCAATAAGCTTGTTCATCAAATTTTGATTCAAAGTTTTATTTCATTGCTTGGATGCAGTATAAAGCATTATTTGAAATATTATAATGAATAATTGCTACCTAATACAGCAAAGTTATAGAAAAGTACTTTATATCAGATATATTGTAAATAATAAGTTATTGTTGATATACATATGTTGATATAAACAATGAGATATGGTTCTGCATCTAAAAATAATCAGCAGCAGCATGCATCTACTCTTAAATAATAAGAATGAAATTTAATTATATTATAACTAAAAAGCAATGAAATAGTAAGTGTATATTGTAATGCAATGTAATGCAATGCAAAACAATATACATACATAATTACTCAAACGCAAATATACATACAGAAAATTGTACACTTCCAATATTACATTATAGATATTGTTATATTAAAGCACAACTCAAAAATTTATTTAATCGTTATTTAGAACAATGTATTATAACTTGTTTGACTAATGCTGTCTGCCAAAGACGATGGTATTTTACTTTAATACATATTATACAAAACAACGAAATGAATGTAATGGGTATGAAAAATTACAGTGATTTACGGTTAATAAGATGATATAATCGAAAAATAAACAATATCATTATGAAAAAATGTAAAAAGATAATACCCTACAATGTATACGTATGGGTATATAATATTCGTCCATTGCTTCCAATGCTCAAATATAGAATAATCATTGTTCAGGTGATCGAAACAATCTGTGACTTAAAAATGAATACATGTATATAATTGATAAGCTAATGTCAGTATAAATTCTATTACGAGCTTTTATCGTTTAATTTTGTGTGTCCTTACTTATATATTAATTATAAATTATTATACTCTATAATATCAGTAAATTTAAATAATAGATCGTATTAATCACTTAGATATGCACATTAGATATATTATTTTAGTAGTGAATTGATCATTCTATTTGTTACCGTAAATAATTCGTATTACATGTATTATAATAACAGAAAAAAATAGTATGTAGAATTTATTGAAAAATTAATAATTTGTCATATATAAATTATAGCTTTTTCATCTTCACAGTTTGTAATTATATGTAATTGTAAAATGAAACAACACCGTTGTGTTATGATGTAATTTGTATTTGTGAAAATGTTAATAGATTTTTAAAATATTTAAATTAATACATATGATGCATTGCCATTGCATTCGTTAAACTAGGGCATGCTGGAAATTCTGACGCTGGTCTAAAATATAATTAATGTGTTGGAGCTAATATAAAATGATGTTTTGTATAAATTTTCTTAGCACATTAACAAATTAAAAGTGCCAACGCAGTTATATTAATCCAACCTGCTCTGTTTTCGATTGCATTGTGATACTTGCTTATCATAAAATTTTGTACTTTTTCACTGCCTAAGTTTAAGTTATGCTCACTTTGTATGCATCATTATATGTATTGTATGTATAAAGACTTTCTTCGATGTAATTTCTAATTGTCAGCTTTGCATAATCAAATGAAATGACAAAAATACGTTTAAAAAAAGAAAAGAAACAGGCCTTCCATTCTAAACATGCTCAGCCTTGATTAAGTTATTTTGCTACTTTTATATCATATAATGATAAATTTATAAGGTAACATCTGACTAACTTGTTATAATATTAACTAATGCTATTTAAGCTATATCTAATTATTGATTGGGACGCTGAAAAAAAATGTATGCACATACATTTTTGAAATTTTTGAACAAATGTGCACACTGTGATGATAATTCGATCGCGTATTTAAAAATATAATATTCTAAGTCTTACATGGTAAATATCTTTGATAATTCGTACTCTCTTGGATGCTATAAATAACTTAGGTCTTAGGTATTGGAAGTTATAATTTGCAATTTCAGTAGCAATTTTTGAAAAAAAAGAAAACAAGAGAGGGAAAAGAAAAGAAAAGATAGTTGAAAACAAGAAAGTCAAAAAATAAAATTAAAAAAGCCAATCAAATGAACATTTTCATCAGATCGATGTGCATAATATTGTATTAAAAAATATATAGCCTTTCTTGCATAATATATTTCTAAGTTTTGTCTTGTTGCCTAGATATTCAAATAAAAACACGTGTGCGTTTTCATCTCAATATTATATATTGTATTATGAATAGAATATGCTAATCCTTATGTATGTGATGTTACATATTTATGTTCACGTTGAAAAAAATATTGTTAATGACAAATAGTTAATGTTGACGTTCCTTACCGTTATTTAATTAAATAGAGTAATTTTTAATTCGCAGTTCGTACTTTAATAGTTCATACCCTGTACAAAATTGTAATACTTTGATTATCATTTTATTGCTACCATAATGTAAGACCTATATATGCAGTAAAATTACGATGGAATGGATAGTACAAAGTGTATCCTTCTTATACATATACCCCCGAGGGTCATCAAGGACTTCAATATCATTAGATTTAATGACATCAATTTTCTTTAAGATTTTTCTAAATTTTCTGATAGTGTATATCTTAATAAATTTCTAATTTAAACAATCTCTACTTATATCCATGAAAAATGCAAAACTTCCTTTATTATGCACACAATCAATTTTGCATAGCATTGTAATATTCACATAAATATATATATATCATAAGTACATTACAAATTTAAATATCTAACAATATGGAATTTCTGACGCTACCACAATTGAAAAGGATTTCTTTGCTAGCAATATATATATNTTGTCTATTATGTACAATATTAAATTCCACTTTCAAACTATGAAATAGAAGATTGCCTTTTTGTGGGTCTCATTATATTATGCATTTAAAAATATTTCTAATATTTAAATATAACCCGATATAGAGAAAAATTGTCTTTTTAATTGATATATAAATAATTATTGTAAAAGCGTAACTCTTGGTATAAAATAAAATGATATATGTTAGAAACTCTAAGAAAACCGTTTTTCTTTTTCTGTATAATACGGATGGAAAAAGAAGTATTAAAATACGATTAAAATATGTTTTAATAATGTAGGATACAAAAGAATACAGAATGTCGTGTATTTTAAATATTTATTCCTTTTTTTCATTCAAAGGACAATTTGTTTTTATTATAACATTATCCTAAGTTTCTTCGAGGGTTACTCACCCTGATGTACCTAAATTACTCTTTAACCATTATTTTTTTAATCATTCCTCGGTTCTCTGATTATTATTTTTTTTTAAAAGTTCTTGAAATTGGCTTCTTTTCGTTCGATATCATTTATCGCAGTCAAGGTGCCATACTACATATGTCCATCTTCTGTTTCTGCTGTTACTACATTCAGTAATGACTTTATACAAATTTGTTTTCAAAGTTGTATGGCTTTTTACCGTCGGTGGCGAAGTAAAGAGATAGTAAATTTTCCAATGTCTTGATTACCATCTAAGCTCTCATTGAATTATTATTCATCATTGTTAACAAGAAAATGATAAAAATCATTTCGCTATGCCAAAGGAGTTTTACACAGCGTACTGCTTATTTCTCTTTTTCTTTTTTTTTTACTTTTTTTTCTTTTTTTAATATGAATTTTCATAATTATTATGATATATTTATATTGTATGATATTTTTTTTTTTTATTTTATCTTTGGTGTATACGAATGTTATATTAAATAAATGTTCGAATTATGAGACACAAGGCATTAATGCATTTGATCGTTTCAAAAGTTTCTTGCTTTTTCTTAGTAAGTTTTATATTCGTAACATTTTGTATTTTGTTATTTTATTGTGTTCAATACGATTCATTCTGGTTTACTATATTTCTCTATATTTTATAAAACACAATAAAATAACGAAATACTAAATATTACACATATAAAACTTACTAAAAATAAGCAAGAATCTCTTAGAACGATTTAATATTATTATGTTAAAGAAATCAAAGTTTATTGTCGGATATGAGATAACGATCAAAACTTAATAGATTAATTGTGCTCTTGAAATTTAGCTCGAAAATATTGCTTGGAAGACACGAGGGTTAGCATATCGTGCCGTGTACTAATAAAAGCACAGAAGTATCTTGTTACTTTTCGACTGATTGTCAATTGATTTTAAATTATTTTTTTATTTTAAATCATGAATATTGTTGATATATTAAAATAGCGAAAAACCTAATATATGTACCTCTCATTTTTGGATATTTTCAAAAAAAATGTGTGGAGTTTTTATCTTTTTTTTTCTTTTTTAAATTTATTTTAATATGCTATATTAGCGACCCCTGTGTGCTTGTAATTATTACCAACGCCTTTCTCAAAAGTAGCTCCTTATAATGGAAGTATATGAATGTTTACTACAGTTTCTTTGTTTATTATTAGACTTAAATTATACGCTTTATTACTCCTCACAACTTACTATGTTTTTGTACAAATAGAGAAGAGTCACTAATATAACTTACAGTTTATTAAGTTCTCTCTTTCTTTCTTTCTTTCTTTCTTTCTTTCTTTCTCGCTCTCTCTCTCTCTCTCTCTCTCTCTCTCTCTCTCTCTCGCTCGCTCTTTCTCACTTGGCTAAGTTTTTAGTTAAATTTAATTATATATGCCCGATGATATTTTTTTCAAGACAAAGTTATTTATTTTGTTACTGTAGCAAAATTATATATACATTACACCACCGACGATAAATATCACATAACGAGAAGTTTTTAACTCGTTTTCTTTTTAACCAACGCGCACTGTTTATTTAAAGGGCCCTGCATACGTCGGAACATGCACAAAATCTAGCTACATCACAGGCGTTGTGTGTTTAGCTATATTTTTTCTATCTTAATCTACCGTTAACATCATACTCGGTATTTATCATAAGTGAACATACTGTCATATTGTTCATCAATGATTCGAGACAAACTAAAGATTGGTAATTGTGGCAAAAATATTAAAAAATATAACAACATAATAATCGCATACATACGAACACCTTACGCAGCACAACGAATGCAGGGCTCAAATCAGGGGCTTTAAAGAAGAGTTCAAAAATATACCTCGTTCAACATTATATGCATTAATCATAATGTTACATTTGATACATTAAATTTATCAGTAAATTATTATATTTCATTCAATTTGTCTTTTATATTTTGGTCAAAAAGAATTCAGTTTCCATTAAAAAAAAAACAACCTATTTTATTATTATTATGTAATAATTATTATTATTATTATTATTATTATTATTATTATTTTATTATTATTATTAATAATATTCTTTTCGATATTTTGAAACGTTTGTAAAAATCCAATCTTAAAATTTTCTAAAGAATCATTAATAATATCATACGAAAAGAAAAGACAAAACTAATCTCCTCTTCTGTATACATAAATAAGTATACATGTGTTTTTTTTTAGTATCGATACACATTCTGCAAAAATATACGTATGTAAAATTACTCGTTTATTTTTTTGATAAGTAATTTTAATTCAAAATACTAACACAATTGTTAGAACTGGTATATGCTGGAACAAATATATAAAAGCCCCCTGGGCAAATATTTTGCACGCAACATTTAACTGATATTAACCAATTATCAGTTTCATTGTGTTGGATATTGTGGCATGGTATATGTTACCATAGTTGGTTGTTGACCAGGTGGTAATGGAGCAGTCGCAGTTGGTGGTGCTGCAGTTGCTTGTGCAGGCTGCCAGGTACCAGCACCAGGAGCAGGCATCCTCATACTATTCATATATTGTTGTCCATAGTATTGGCCATAATATTGAGCAGGTTGAAGAAACTGGCCTTGCATCTGTGGATAGCCTTGAGGATACCAATAGCCCATTTGTTGTCCATATCCGTAGGCATACTGCCCAGCTCCAGTAGAAACCTATAAGACATAGATTTATATCATATGTTTATATACTATAACACCTCTTTTATTTCTTATTTATTTTTTAATACCTTAGAAATATACTTCCTAGATCCTATCTATTTAAAAACTATTAAAGATATTTTTATAAATTATAATTAAAAAGAAAATAAAAGTCCAGTCTTCATAAATCTGGTTGAATTATAAAAAGATTACAAATATTTTTTCATTCAATTGTTAGTAACCAACATACATAAGTTTTTATGAGAATATAATTTCTATACCACACATTGAAGTTTATATAGAAATTAATAATATAATAATATGAGAAAGAAAGTAATGAAACTTCTTTAATGAATTTATAACAATAACCTGTTGAGCTTGATGATTTGCATTAGGGCCAACGCTATTGGGATCACCATTTTCTTTTCCCCAAAAACATTTGACGATGCTACCACTGATTTCTGTATTATGTGTAGATTCTATGGCATGTGTAGCTGCTTCCTTAGTTGTAAATTTGATGAATGCATAACCTTTATCCTTGAATACTCTTATATCTTGAATGGTTCCAAATGGTGAAAATGTTTTCGTAATTAGCTCGTCCGTAACGCCATTTGTGAAACCTCCACAATATACCGTACAATTGGTAGGACTACTTTGGTTATATACCTGTCAATAAAATGTTATGTAAATAAAATATAAAATTGTTACAAATGTTGAGAAAGCGATATTAAAATAGTCTTATCACACAACAATTAAATGCATGTAATATGTTACCTATGATTCCATTAACAAAAGCATCAAACACTCTCGATTGACATTCGTTTCTTTCAAATCATCTTAAACAAAAGTAAATCTAAACTCAAAAGTTGAACCCAACTGTATAATAGACAGCGTTTACGGAAACCTATCTAATTTAGTTATACTAATTATGTATTCATCCTATTCCAGATGCTGTATGGTTCATACTTTGTGTGAGCTTCCGATAAGGTAAAGATGATTTAAAAACAAAACTATACAAAATTAAACATACCTCTTCATAGTTGGGTTTACTATTGTTAGAGTGTCGTGGCCTTTCCGATCTTGGAGGCGGTGGCTTTCTGGTGGACCAATTTGTCCTAATGCATCTTGAGCCGAGCCACTGACCATTCATAGCCCCTATTGCAGCTTCTGCTTCAGACTTCTTCACAAAGGATACAAATGCATATCCTTTACTCTTCATTGTAGTTGGATCACGTACAATCCTGCAGTTACTAATTTCACCAAATGGAGCAAAAGCTTCTTTTAAAGTTTCCGTTTCGATTTCTGGCGATAAATCACCGACGAATATGTGATGGTGATTACTCGTATCCAACTTTGGTTGATTTCCAGGGCTTGTCGCCCAGTTAACCTTCATCTCCTTATCCAGAAATAATCGCTTGTTCATGGCGGCTAACGCCGTGGCCGCGCATTGATGATTTGTGAATTCAACAAATGCGTAAGGATCATTTCCGGGCTCTCTTATAATTTTACATCCTTTTACTGCACCAATTTGTGAAAACAGTGCACACAAAAGGTCCTCCGACACCGAAGCGTCAAGATTTCCCACGTAAAGCGTTCGTGGATTACTCTCTTCGCTCATTCTTGCTCTATCGGGGGAACTTATTTTGCTTATATTACTACTTTTCTTACGTTATGTCGACTTAAAATACAATTTACACCTCCAGTGGCCCTTGAGAGCATCTATCTTGAGCCCAGCATCAGAAGGTTCGTTTTCTCGCGTTTTCCAGCGAACGGACGGTTGAACGCGAAGCTACACCCAGCCTCTACGTCATACTACGATAAAATGGCGGCTCTGCTGTACAATCACTTTCCCCTTTATTCAACGGCATAAATGTACAGATTTTTCCAAATAATACTATTAATATACCGTTTAGAATTTTAACGTTATTAAATAATACATAAAAAAGCTTTGTGACATTAAATCACTACTTCTTATACCCAACTTTTTTTTAACAAAGTACTAAAGAACACGTGTTTCGTTTAGCCCGTTGGATTTCATAACAGGTAGCGCGAAAATGCTTATTATCCATTGGCATATAGAAATTACTAGTCCAACGCTTTGCTAAAATTAACTTTTCATTGTGAATTCGCATTTATATATTCGTATAATAATATTTTTTATAATTATTTTTAATTGTGTATATTTGTTTTTTTTTATATCTATATATGTTTATTAATTTCTCTTATTTATTTATTTCTTTTTTATTTCAATTTGCGCACGCAACAATAATTTGACTAACGATTCAAAAAATTCACCATATATATGTTTTTTATAATTAGACAAACTATTAATTTGTGTGTATTAACTATTAAAAAGTTAAAAGGAAAATTTAATTAAAAATTTATTACAAGTTGTTTATCTTAAAATATCACATCTTAATCTAAGACTTAAATGTTTCCCGCTAGTTATTCAAGTATTTCCGTTTTTCTCTGCCATCTTAATATGAACTCTGTGTGTCGTATAATTATGTATATTTCTTTTTGTATTATATTAATTATATTTATATCATATTACGTAGGTTATTATAATGATTATAAGCAACTAATTTTTTGGAATAAAGGTATATGATATTAAAATAATTGATGATAAAATAATTATCTACATTCTCGTAAGTTTATTTTAAAGCATTTTCAGGGAAGAAACGTTTTTAAAGATGGCACCTTAAGTTAGATACGTTGATTGGTTATTGGTTATAGGTTATTCAAATAAAAATGATTGGTTGGTTAAATATTACAAATTTTCCGATATTTACTAAAGTAAAGAATACCTGGAAAATAAAGAAAAGAAAAGCAAAGATAATATTTTCAATCCGATTGGTTAGTCAATAATAAAATTTGCACACCGAATGGTAGGGGGGAGATGAAATGTGTTTAATGTTGTATAGTGTGTTGCATGTTTGTTGTTTATTGATAAAACATATGAGTAATATACATATCTTATCTATATTTAAAATCTATGTAGGTATATATATATATTTATTTTTTCTGAAAGATTTTTATTAATTATATTANTATATAAATGTGCGTATATAAATATATTTACATATATTTATTGTGGAGTTATATGAATATATGGGTCAACATTAATTTACTATTAATAAATAATATGTAGATTTAGTATAGGAGCTAAAATGCATTTAGTATTACGTGATTGTTTTATGTAATAAATCGTATTCTAATTGGACAATATTAAATGCGTCCATTCAATCGGTAATGTAGATAGTTTACGGTTGTTTCTATCTAGCTCTATCTACTGGATAAGATGATAAGTATTATTATCTAGTGCAGAGTGTATAATTCCTTTTTTTTTGCATGTGGTATGTATGTGTCTAAATCTTAAACGAAAAACATATCGACAGATGGCTTACGAGCATGTTATGATTAATAAATTCCAGTTAAATTCGTTGAGTATATGAAAAAGGAAATAATAATAAGTGTAATAAAATCGTTTGCGTATTAATGGAAAAGGTTATAATTATTAAATTAATCAATTAGAAATTGTTATTTTTTAACAGGAAATATATTTTTTGCATCGAGGGAAATAGCAATCGAAACATGGCGTTTGTTTCTTTAGTGAGATCCGAAATTACTTTTCTTAAGGTCGTAGTACTTTAATAGTACTTTAGCTATTATTGAGAAAGATACGACGCATTTATTACAAACTTTCCGAATGTTATAACGAAATATCGTCATTATTATTTGAATCTATATTTATAGTTTATTAATAATACGAAAATTGTAAAGAATGAAGAGAGATATTGTTATTTGTGTCTTATGGGATGTGGACTGCATTTAAAATATCGGAATATCCAAAATGACGTCTCGCAGTTATACTAAATCTTACAGTCGCAAGGTCAGTAGTGTGACACCTGGAAGCATTCAATTTGATAAACTTTTTCGAGAAAATAGTAACAGACCTTCTGCTGCCAAGTCAGCAGGTACTGTTGGAAAATGGGGTATAACATCTTTTACATCTATCAGAAGCACGAATATCAATGGTATGTATTTTTTACTTTCTTATTACTTTTATTATACTTCTTCGCATGATTAAAATATTTAATGATTCAACAAACAATTATACTCAATTATACAGGAAATTATTTGTATTCGTGTATTTTTGTGTCTCAAACATTTGTTATGAAATTGTTAATTTCTATGTTTCTCCCATTCTTTCGTTATGACTCATTCATAATATAGCTGGTTTTTCTTTTTTTAGTTTATCTTTATTATTCTTTTTTACTTATACAAATGAGTTATTTTATATGATGTAATTCTATTCGTATATATGTAAGATATTAATACCAAACATGCATTATATTGTCGTATTTAAAAAGTATAGCATTCAAGAATTTATTTGTTATATATATATATATATATATATATATATATATATA